CCGCCGGCACAAACTGTTCACGTTTACAAGGTCCAAGTGAACTGATCAGAATGGGGTTGTGGTATTGTGAACAAAGCGCAACTTCCAGTCAATATCTAAATGCTCCAAATAGCTGCGGACGAACGATGAGCGAGAACCACTGAACTCAGCCAAGTGGCTATTAGGAATCAGTTATCATGATTACATCGGACTCGACCCTTCATGAGCCTACGTCTTTTCAATAATCTCACCTTACTGGCTCAAGGAAAATTACATTATGAGATGCATTCCCATATCATGCTCCTCGTCCATTCACCTTAAATTCCCATTCAAGTGGAAAGGCGCATTACCGCCTTCCTCTCTAAAATAAATATGCTCCTGGCATCAGGAAAACGGCGGAGTTCCCCCGAATCCATATTAACGTTTTAAATTACCCAGCATCCTCGTGCTAACTCGTCACATTCGCAACCTCTCCATTCCGATGATACATCGCTGAACCTCAAAAAATATAGATGCATTTGCGCTTATGTGCGCAAATGACTACAACTACCCAACATTACACCGATGACTTGATTTCACGCTGCCATCCGCGACTTTTGTCACGCTATACTATGTCTTCTGCCTACCATCATTTCCCTGAAGCGTTCTGTGCCGACTTACAACCCTATCTGCAGTTGGGCGGTACGGGATTTTTCAACAGCGTTTATCCATCGCATTGATACAACTCTTGACTTTGTAAGCCGTCAGCCCATTCTCATTTACGTTTCTACAAACCTGCTTGTAGAACGGTTTGTCTACTGTTGGTTGTCTCCTGCTTCGTGATGCCACAATTGCTTCCTACACTCACCATTGGCTCAGCCAACCGGTTAAGACTTTCCCTGGTTTATGCTTGCGAGGCATTCAGTAGGCGGCGGGGCTCTTTCCAACGAAAGCTCGCCTGCCTAAAGACAGATTGCTTCCTTCGGCTACGCTTATTATAAACAAATAAATAAATAAATTTGCATATTTACCGATAAACGGTACAGGACCGCATAAGTGGGAGCGATCATTTGTATAGTGAATAGGTTTCATGGTTTATGCAGCGTAAATCATAATAGTAAAGAAAAGTTTATTAATAGAATTTCGGATCATGATTTTCTTCGGGTCCTAGATCCGAGCACCTAATATATAAAATTGACAGATATTTGCATCATCATTTTCTAGTTTTTGGGGCTCAGGACTAGATAATCAGTGGGAGGGGATACTAGGCTGCACAGACACAGGACATGGTGTTGTAGGTAATGACACATAGTGGGTAAGCTAGTTGCAAGCGAATATCTGCTCATATGTTTTTATACCAGCTTCTGTCAATGTTTCTAGAGTTTGCTGTGAGTCAAAGATCTTCAACACATTTGATATAGTGAGCAACGTCTGAAGGGAATTTCGAAATGTGACATAGCTTACACTCATGTGTATCTGTAGGGGTAGTTTGTTCCACAGATCAGTGTATCTCACGAAGAAGAAATTCGACCGTGTTTTATGACTTGAAAGATTTGTGCGTATCAAGTAGCCGCCATTACGTTTGGGGTAGACTGCAGTCTTTCGTAGTTCAAGTACGATGCTGTCTGCATAAATTCGTTGGTTTATAATGTTGTAGAAGAGAACGACGTTATTCTGTAAGCGTCTCAGCCAAAAAGGATCCCGTTGGAGTTTTCGACAGGTCAGGTCAGGTTTGAGCAGCGCCCCATGATCAGCTTGGTAAATGATCGTTGGACATTTTCCAAAGCCGTTCTGTCTTTCTTTTTCAGTAGGCTATGAACGCTAGTACAGTATTTCAGAGTCGGTCGTACTATTATCTTAAATGACTCAAGTGGTGCTTCAGGTAGGGAGAAAGTTCTGGTGATATCTCCGCATAACTGTTTTGCTTTCGCAACCTGATAAAGCACATGTTCGGAGAAATTGAAAGAGTTAGAGTACCTAATTCCTATGTCCCGAACTTAATCAGACGTTGGGATCACGTTTCCGGCAAGTGTGATAGAGCCTTCTGGGATGCTGCATCTGTACCCAAGTACTTGGGATTTCACTGCGGAGAACTTCATTAATAAACGTTCACTAGCTATATTTAGTGCGGATAAGTCTTCACAGATGTTTCTCAGGCACCTTTGCAGTTGAGGAGGTTGATGTGTTCTCCGAGCTGGGTAATTTTGTTGCGGACGTTTCATTGCCAACCTGAGTAGTGAAAAAACATCAGGTGTGATTTGCAAAATTTGCGACAAGTACTACGTTGGCCAGACAGGGAGGAAACTTGGTTCAAGACTGCATGAACACAGGCTGCCCATCCGCCGCCATGATGTCAAGTCACTAATATCAGTACATATGGATGCCGAAGGCCATCAGTTCGATCTGGGAAACGCCAAGATACTTGGAAGACCGAAGAACCGCAGAGCGCGTGAGTTCATCGAAGCCTGGCATTCGGTCCGGAACTCAAACGACAAGCACCTGGAACTACAGGGTGTCTGCGAAGCTTTGCATGTGATGACAACAATAAATATCAGATCGACAGGGCGAAGGCGCGACCACTTGACCGACCCACGTGAGCGAATCGAAGACCGACATTCAAAGCAGTAGCCGCTCAATATTCACTTGGATCTGGCAGTGGCTTACGAGGCTCTGCGAATCAGACCCTAATAGCCGCACTGAGGATGTTGCCTAGCTTGGCAATGAAACGTCTGCAACAAAATTACCCAGCTCGGAGAACACATCAACTCTCTCATCCACACCCCGAGCTACAGGTATTCTCAATAATTTCCAAACATTTGCAGTTAGTCTGGATACAATGAGTAGACAGTTTGACATCCTCTGCAAACAGAATTGCGTGTCCATGTTTGATCGGGTCGCATTTGTTGTTTACGTAGATTAGGAAAAGTAGTGGTCCGAGCACACTTCCCTGGAAGACGCCGCTGGTTATTTGTTTCGGCGTAGTATTGCTGACCGATTCTAACTACCTGGGTTCGACCGTTTAGGTATGAGTCGAACCAGTTAAGCAGAGGATTTCCAATTCCATATGACTCTAGAACAGACAGCAGTGGCTTGTGCGGCACGCGGTCGAACGCCTTTTGCATGTCCATCAGAATAATCATGCTTACTATTCCTTGTCAATCATACTCGTGACATGATCGAGGAATTGTAGCTGGCAGGTAACGCAGGAGCGTTTCGAGAGAAAGTCATGCTGTGAGGGGTTGATCAGATCCAGTCTTGTGAGATATGGAACGATGTTCTCGACTATTTTCTCTAAGACTTTGGAAGCAGCAGAGGTGTGATTTATTGGGCGGTAGCTTGGCACTTTATTTCTTGGGCCACCCTTGTGCTTAGGCATTATAATGGAGTGCTTCCACTGAGATGGAAAACAGCCGGTAGTGAGAGAGTATGAAGACGTTTTAGAGTGAGGTTTTTTCTTCCGAGTTTTATAATAGTTGGGGAGATGCCATCTGGGCCTGGACGAGTTGATGGTTTTATGGATGCGATGGCACTTTGCACCTCTCTTAACCTCATAGGGATATTGCAGCATAGCTCGGTCGTTGGTTTTGGAAATGGTGGATGGAACGGCGACTTTCACATTTACATGCTTCTACTGATCACCTCGTCATTCAATCATGACTTATGTTGTCACGTGTGATGGCGTCTGAGTCATTTCGAGGTATGCACTTTTACTTTTTATTTGAGACATTTACTGTATTCGGTGGTTATTCCCTATTTTCTAGTCCCCACAATTATCAGCAGGGATCTATCCTGCCTGGGGTCCATTTAGACAAGTATCCCACTTGCACTGCCACGTCACCTGATCAGTATTTTTGTTATACCTATTGTTTCATCACTGTTATTTTTTTCGTCAACTAACACGTGGCTGTAACTCCTGTAGACTGAAGGTTTGGCGACTACGACTCAACTGGATCGCGATGTGCTCTATTATGTCTACATGCATCTCCTACCTATGTCGTTCAAATGTGCCCCTGGTTCGCTTACACTGCTGTACTTGCAGCTGTCCCCACCCAAATTATTAACAGCCTATCAGGCTGGGGTATAATTCGAGGTTGGAGCGTAACCTCTCACCAGCGACTCGGTTGGATGAGCCGGCTAGCAATTGCGAACCATGTGAACAATCCTGAAAGCCCAGTGTCCCCTGCTGTGAATGGAGCAACGAAATTGTTTTTATTCGGTTTGCTCTTCGCCCTTAATCGCAGTTCTCCGAGACGTGGTCCGATTGGTTGCCTAAGAACATCCGAGAGAAGCTAGCGATCTCTTCTCTGGGTGTTCCTGAGGTCATTTGTCCATTGATCAAGTGGCTCTCCTATAGAGAAAAATGGATTGCATTTGGGGGTTAGTGGGGATATAAGCTCGTTCTGTTTTCACTGTCTGCCCTGCAGTCTCTATCTTATGGAATCGATTTTGAGTATTTCCTCCCTAATTCGTCTGTGAGGTACACCGTAGCCATTAGACTTCGCTGTTCTGTTCACATTTCCAATCAATTTGATAGCAGAAAGTTCATTTTCACGAATCCGTCGCAAAACGTAGAGTGTGAGCAACGGCTTTCCTGTAATGTTATTTCTTCCGGATGCCAACAGACATTTCGGGTGAAAATGCTACGCAGGTCAGCGCATATACTGCTATTGCGCCCACTTATTAAACGCAGTTTCACATCTTGTCGGACTCACCAGAAATTTTTGTTGTCAAAAAACCGTGTAGACTTATCGCTTACCTCATTTGTTTATACAAAGGTATTTTGCCCCTCTCGGACAAGTAAATAGTTATCGGTTAGTTATTATGTGTTTGCTCTCCTGTGTTTTAACGTTAAATCGGACTTTCTTCTCCTCTCTATTCCAAACATATATCATTGCCACACACTACTTCCTGATTACTTGATAACGCGGCTTATAACAACTTGCCTCATCGCATGTCAGTCATCTGGTCACCACACTGCTCGGTCGTCCATGTCCTTTCCGTTTCAACTACGTTTTCTATCTTTTTCCCGTCTCGTCCTTCAGGAATTCACGAATCGTCAGGACGTGCAGTGTGGTTCGACCATCGGGCCTCTGCTGTCCGCCCAACTGGGCGTGCCAACTGCGGATGTGGGTTTCGCGCAGCTGGCGATGCATTCTTGCCGCGAGTTGTGCTGCACCACAAGTGTAGGGCAAGCAGTGCGCTTCTACTCTGCCTTCTTCGAACACATGCCCAAATTGTGGCCTCCCTGTTAAACAACGGACCCACTTCAACTCCGAACACTGCCCCTGCATTCCTTTAACATTTTATGCGTAACTCGCAACCTGGTCCATCAACCTTACCGTTCGCAGGTCGTTTTATATTCCATCCCTGCTGTTCATTGACCTAGTAATTTAGAGGTTATTTTAACACGGGATTATTATCTCTCTCATTTGAACTTCCTGTCCAATAGCCAGTACATGCCGAAGTCTTTCTGACCACTGTTCTCTGTTACTCTTTGCTCAATTGGCGCTTTTCACTCCATCCAACGTGTGTGTACCCTTTATCTATGGATTATTCTTGTCGCCACTATTCTCTACTATATTTTTCTTCTTCAGTTAACAACCGATCATCATTTAACATAGAGAATTTTTTGCAGCTGTTCGTCGTTTTTTTGTTACTTTTTTACCAGCTCATCTCTAACATCCCATCCGAGCATGTTTATGCGCATGATTCTCCAACGCTAAACTAGTGATGCTTATTTTTGGGGCCATCCGGGCTCCAAAAAGGAGTATTCATGTTAATCTCCAGTTGAGACCGGACGTACGTTATTCTACTTGAATGGCAAATTGCTGTCCAAATTTTTATGTGCGTATCTGCTGTACTTCTCTTTATTCATCGTGCTCCGGCCTTCATCTTTACTGATAGATGTGATAGATGTGTCTCAGCCATTTTTAACACCTGCCGAATTTATATGCAGATGTCCTTGACGTATGTGTGCCAACCCCCTAGTTACATTTGTGCTTGTCATCCTGTTGCCATTCAGCAGTGTTCAGACAACTATGGGCAGCCCCGGACCTACTCCGTTTCTCTTTGGCGTGTCCATTCAGAATGTTTCTAGCCGAGCTTCATACGCATAGTGCAAGGTATGGGTTGTTTCCAGTTTATCATCGCTGAATGTGAGATGATTTGATGGAATCGTATAAGGCACAGCTCACCAATCTACTGCCCCCGGCGTCAGTTCATCCGGCCCGCCGACTGTACCCAAATTTCCTTGATAAAGCCTATGGAACATACGACGTTTTGATAAAATTTATTTTTACACCGTACATCGTGTTGTCCGTGAATTCGTACTGCTTGAACACTAGTGTGAGCCAGCTCATGATTCTTAAGTGCGACAGCGTACTATCGCAACACTAGTGTCCCCACATCATTGGGACACCAATGTGAGTGATCACGCACGAAACCTATTCATCCGACAACCCTACCGTGTTTCTGTTTGCCTTACATTTTCATGCCGCAGTTTCCGTTACTTATCTCCCTTGAAACACCTGTCATATATGCGCCGCCTATTAAGACACGATATTTTATGTGTATCCTTTTGGAAAGCATTGTAAGTTGCTAGTACGGAATTGCGCAGGAAGCGCAACTTTTCGAGGTTAGTAGCTTTTAGTATTTCTTGCTGCACTAAATAAAACCTGTATCTAGTTCCAGTACTGTTTCTGATTTCACTCTGGTGGGAATCGCTTTGCTCAGACCTTCCAAGCGCATTTCCGCGCATCCGTGCCCGTATTTGCCTGTCACTGCAGCCTTCATGAGGACATCGACAGGACGTCTGTGCCTACGGAAGGACCATGGGTGGCTTGCGCTGCATCATCCACACACCCCATCTCCAGTGTAAAATCGAAGAAATAAAGCTGGGATTCATATGGATGGGGGCACATTTTATCAGTGTAGCCGGCCCACATTCTTTCAACATGCGCAGCAGTGGCATTCCTGTCACTCTAATTGGGAAATCATGCGTCCCAGAGGTACACATGGCGGTGGCTGTGCCGTAGCCCTATCCACAGCGGATGGAATCACTCTTTGATTCTAGCAACGTCACGAGGACCGTGCACCCCATCCCTCAGCAACGATTAATGGTCTGGATCCAGTAGTCGATGTGGGGGGGTTTCGCCAAGTAATCACCTTGTCAACATTCACCTCAAGCGCAGTCAGGCAGTTCAGATCACACGGGAGGGAGGGTTGATGTCAAGCGCATGTATATGTTGCAAATAGTCTTATGCATTTCATTCTATTACCGAGGGTACCAATAACTTTACATGCACCACTGGTTAGCTACACTTCCACCAATAATCCTTAGTCCTCTGTTTTTCCGATGTTTCTATGAGGTTTCTATTATGTTTTTAATTTTAAATCTTGTTCCATTACTAGGAAAAGAAAAGTAGACACCGAGTGTAGTGTTTGTCTGTTTTCTCAGAGATTTCTTTCTGGTTTGAGAGTGTTGTGCATCATGATTATGCGACCCGCACCAATCACTTTGTGAGTTCTTCGACCCGCGCTAGTCATTTTTCCTAGTTCTCCGACCCGTTGTGAGAACAATTTGTTGACCCCTTTGTAAGGTAATGAACAACCCTATCGGCCTCCAGTCATTTGCCAAATATCAGCTAAAACTCGGGCCGCACGTATCCAGACGTGACATCAGAGCGGCGTTTTTACCATTCTTCTCCCAGCTATTGCTACACGTTACACGGTAGTAATGAGTCTGGTTCAGAGTTCGTCATATCTGTTCCCGGAGCTGCCTTGCTCATGCTTGCAATTATAGTTAGCAGTTCTCGATTGAAACCAGCGCCTTGAACAATCACAAGGCAGCAACAGGGATTCTCGCCGTCGTTGCCATTTGCAAAAGCAAAGAACGAGCAACCAGACGTCGAGATGGCGACGATTTTGGGTTTCTTGTTGGTACAATAAACAAGCCGTTCGCTAGATGGAACCCATAAATTCGTTCTGATCACCTCACACAGTTCTCAGTAATCGTGTTAGTGTTCCGGATAAGTTTGCATATGAGGATTGCTAGCTGTTTGTCTTACAATTAGCTCACTGGCTCCTGATCTCACCGGAACTCCAAAGTGTATTAATATCTTGTATTCATGGCGCTACGTACCGTACCAAGTAGGTTTGTTGGAAAGCGACTAATAGTTACCACGTTAATATTATTCAGAAAACGCTTGTGTTTGTGATTCCGGCTTTATCATCTTTCCTTGTCATCACTTTACGGAGACATCTAGGATGTTACATGCGTACCTTAAACTAAGTTGTCCATGAGTTTGGCGCTCAGTGTCGTATTCCACCGGTTTCCCTCATTTACACTACAATGTATGGTCCGTCCTCGGTGTCGTTTTTAGTGACAGCTTTATTGTGCTCCCCCGTCTAGTGTTGTTTTTTTAACGCTGATGATGTTTCCGGTGCCTGACGCACGCATGCTCAATGTACTTTTACGTTTACTCTTGTGGTTGAATGGAGGAACCTTTCCGTGAATACATCGGTTTCCTGCCATTGAGCTCATTCGAGACTGAAGAGCTCACAGGTAATTAATGGACTCTGAGCGAACAGCCACAGACACCTCACCGTTATAGGTAGAATTTCGTCACATCTAGGCTCACTCAGACAGCCGCCACAATCCCGGAAAAGCACTGTACGCGCGTTTCATCCTTTCGGGAATCATCAGCAGTGCGCATTCCATCGGACCCTTGGTAGGGCTCGAAACCGCAACTCGACTGTTGCCAGTCCGTGGTTGAGACCACTGAGCTACGTGGGACGGCAACGACCATCGTGAATAAGTTACTAGATGTGATATAGCGCCGCTCACTATCCACTGACTTACACGTTACTGCCGTGCAGAGGACAGGGTAGCCCCCTCACCAAGCGACGAGCTTAACAAACTTAAGCCGCCAATTATCTTATGGCATTATAAGCAGTTTGTTCTGTGTACTGATTACAGAAGAGTAGTAGGGGGAGTTGAATGGTATAGGTAGAATTTCGTCACATCTAGGCTCACTCAGACAGCCGCCACAATCCCGGAAAAGCACTGTACGCGCGTTTCATCCTTTCGGGAATCATCAGCAGTGCGCATTCCATCGGACCCTTGGTAGGGCTCGAAACCGCAACTCGACTGTTGCCAGTCCGTGGTTGAGACCACTGAGCTACGTGGGACGGCAACGACCATCGTGAATAAGTTACTAGATGTGATATAGCGCCGCTCACTATCCACTGACTTACACGTTACTGCCGTGCAGAGGACAGGGTAGTTTGTTAAGCTCGTCGCTTGGTGAGGGGGCTACCCTGTCCTCTGCACGGCAGTAACGTGTAAGTCAGTGGATAGTGAGCGGCGCTATATCACATCTAGTAACTTATTCACGATGGTCGTTGCCGTCCCACGTAGCTCAGTGGTCTCAACCACGGACTGGCAACAGTCGAGTTGCGGTTTCGAGCCCTACCAAGGGTCCGATGGAATGCGCACTGCTGATGATTCCCGAAAGGATGAAACGCGCGTACAGTGCTTTTCCGGGATTGTGGCGGCTGTCTGAGTGAGCCTAGATGTGACGAAATTCTACCTATACCATTCAACTCCCCCTACTACTACTCTTCTGTAACCTCACCGTTAGTCTGGTTGGTCTTAAATGGTTCCGGGTACAGTTGCTGTCGTGCATATCCACAGAATGCGTCAAACCACAGAGTGATCACGGATGGCTTACGCCGCACCGAGCACAGTTGCGGTAGCGTGCACTGTAGTAATAATAATAGGTATATTTCTCATTGAGAAGCTGTGGCCATTTTTGGCACAGATCATCTATTACAGAATATGTCATGCTCATGCATAAATGATAAACATTGATGTGATTTTCATAGCTTTTGCTGTTTCAACGGTTTGTATTAACTCACAGGTGTGTTTCGACACAATGTGCGCTAGTTGGGATAGTACATGGTAACAGCACTACGGGTGTGTCACACAGTATAAAAATATTTTTGTTTCGCTCACCACATGTCGGGCCCTTCTTGGTACAAATCATTAAGTGATCTCTCTAAGAGAACAGGGTCATAATCATGTTCAACTCTAGGTAGTTGGTGGGCTTAACGCGAAAGGCCGTTGCGCTCTCACACGATCTGATTGTGACTAGGAGCTTATTCCACAGTACAGTATGTCTTATAATGAAAATGTAAAACCGCAGATTTACCCTGCATCTGGGTACACTCAGTCATCATCATTATACACGTTAGCTAGAGGTGGGAAACACAGCTACTGTGCCGCAATATATAGAAAAAAGGTGAGAAAAAATGCAACTGGTGCAAGCCAGCTGAGCTACCGGTAGCGGATGGGCATCGTTCCAGTAAGCTACCAGCCAGCTATTATGCAGCAAAAAAATACTATGCAAAATTATATAAGGCTAAATATTGAAATCATGGTTGGGATGGGGTGGGACAAAGAAACTCACAGCACAAACGCCACTGAGGTCGGCTCCTAGCCATATTAGCAAGTGTATCCAGCCAAACGTGTTCATCGTCTTTCGGAACCCAACCAGGGAGTCGAGACGCTCCAACAGAGGCCAGCTTCGAAGTGAGGGCCTTCATTCCTCTTGACCCAGTCATCGCTTGGCCACCCCTCTTGTTCCATCCACACCCCCGGCGCGCAAACAACTCACGTCACAGGAGTCGTGGGCTGACATGCGTAACACGTGGCCGAGCCATCGGAGCCTAATGCATGAAATAACTGCTGAGACGTTCATTTCCTTTTCCGGTGCCGTAAACAAGGCGTCGAACACGCTCGTTGCTCACGTGGTGTTCCCACCAGATGTGATCTAAAGTGCGAAGGCACCGGTGGTCGAACGTAACGAGCCTCTTTATGTACGTTGATCTAAGGGGGCCAGGTTTCTGGTAAACTCAGGGTAAAC